CGATTGCAAAGGTAGTCAGAAGCCAAAGACATCAGATATTGTCATGTCTGCAGGGCATATCAGAAAAAAACCCCAAATATGTTACAACAGTCAATGTGCTGCACATGTCACATTACAAAGAGCAACCTCTGGCATAGGATATCATCTCCACTGTTTGTAAAACATAGTAATGTGGATTGTGAGCATCAGTCAGTCCTGATCTACAGCAGGGGGCCAAGCTAGATGGGTTTCTTCCAGACCCATGATGCTCAGTGAATCTGTCTAGCTTACACCTAACTACAGCTACCAGAATCAGTCAATTTGACTATATACTGAAGAGCTGCGCAAGCAAAAAGAATATTGTGGCTGCTGCGATTCACAAGAGAATTGAGATCATTAGGGGGTTTTAAGCTAATGAGTTAAAATGGAGTTGAATATTAAAGAGGGCCATACCAGAAAAAAAAAGAGGGTGGGGAACATACAAGAATGCACACGGACATCCACACAGCAGAAAACATGTGTAGATAGAATTCCTTCTGCAGCATGGGTCTAAACATCAGACTGAACTTTCTGCAGACTTTGCCCTGCCAAGGCTCCCTTCTTGCAATTGACATCATTACAAAATGCCCTGCTGGATAATAGTCCTGCAAGACAGGCAGAGTCCCCTTGGCTCCAGGCCAACCAGTGACATGGCTGCACTCAGGGCACACCCACCAGATGGGAAATGACAGCCTTGAATGTCTCCCAGATAACTTCAAACATTCAGAATGTCCCTGTGTTCTTCCCAAAGCCCGGCCCTGACTGGGATCTTGTATTAGCCAAGCCTTTAACTGGCTTCAGACTTCAGCCAGAAAACTCACAACACAGCTTAGAACAACTCGTTTTCTTGCCACAGCTTCAATCTGCGGTCACAGGGCCTCATATATACCACTGGTTGGCAATCAAAGCCAGGTACAGGCCATAATTTTTGTTTCTGCTGACAAAAAATTAAGTTTGCAACATTCTGTGTGAAAGGTTCTCTTTCTTTTTCCATTTGAATTTTCTGTGTCTTTTGTTAATGAGCAGGACTTGGAACATTACAATACATATTATCACTTTGGTCATGTATGAGGGTGGCCTGGAGAATCATAAAAGGCAGAAGGATATGATCTGTAAATCTGGCTAATTAGATAATTGTCAAAAACATCTTAATAAGGCGAGGTTCCTCTGTGCTACAGTAAAATTTGCAATGCAGAGAAAGCTTCAGTGTGCAAAATGATTTTTTAAAATTCACTTACTTTATACCCCACTTTTCTCCCCAGCAGGGACCCAAAGGGGCTTACATCATTCTCCTCTCTTCCATTCTAGCCTCACAATAACCCTGTGAGGTACATTAGTATGTGACTGGCCCAAAGTCATCCAGTGAGCTTCCATTGCAGTGTGAGAATTTGATCCTGGGTCTCCCAGATCCTAGTCTGACACTCGAAGCCACTATACCACACTGACTCTCAAATAAACCTCCAGAAGCCACCTCTTATTCCCGAAGAAGAAGAAGAGTAGAGGCTGGATTTATACCCAGCCCTTCACTACCCAAAGGAGTCTCAGAGCAGCTTACAAACTCCTTTCCCTTCCCCTCCCCACAACAGACACCCTGTGAGGTAGGTGGGGCTGAGAGAGCTCTGACAGAAACTGCTGTTTTTCAAGAACAGCTGTGCCAGACCTATGGCTTGCCCAAGGTCATCCAGCAGGTGCAAGTTGAGGACTGGGGAATCAAACCCAGTCCTCCCAGATTAGAGTCCATGCACTTAACCACTACACAAAACTGGCTCTCAAGAACTGAATACTTTTCATTACATAAAATATCTCCAAAGAACTCAAAATCTCAAGAGTCTGGCTATAGAAACAATCTAAAAGCAGTTAACGTACAGGCAGTCTGATACCACATCTTCAAGCAAGGTCATGGTAAGGCAGTTATTACTAAAATGCTATTAAAAGGCTCGGATCACCTCATCTAAGCACTTGAGCCAAGGGGTAATAGTCACTACTGGGGTCCATGGGTGACCATGTCTTATGTCTTAAGTCAATAAAGCATTGCGTTAGCGTAAGCACAGTTCCATAAATCATAGCATTACATGGATTGGCAAATAGGCCAATCAGAGAAGCCTTTGACTTTGGCGGGAATCACTCTCATTGGTTCCAAGCTCCGTATTCCGATTGGTTGTTATATGTTTGTTTAGGTGTGGTTTTGCCCGTTCAAATCATATATGTCAGCATTTTTCTATGTATATTTGTCTAGTGTTGTTATGAGCTGAATAAAATGAAATCACTTGCTTAAGAGCTGCCTCAATTTCAGTTCATAATAATGGCAACGAGGATGGGATGCAGTGGGTAGGCAGCCCCACAGAACCATAAGAGCAAATCACTGACTGGGCAAGGAATTGTCGCCTTGGCCCTGAGAACAAGTCATGACTGACGACCAAGGAACAGTTGCCTTGGCTCCAAGTGACACCAGCAAGCCATAATACCATGCATACAGGGAATGTATTGATCAGTGGTGATATAAATGGTAGGGTTACCAGATGTCCTCCTTTCAGACGACTTGTCCTTTTGTGCATGTGCATGTGTCCATCCATCCTCTTTTGGACTCTTTTTTAAAAAACTGATTAAAATGTTTTCTTTTGGGGTCGGAAGGTTAGTAACAATTATCAGAGCTTAAATAGTAGGGGTATTTAAAATTAGGTTAGTCATAGTGATCATTTGTTTGAAATAGTTAGTCGGGAAATATGTCCTCTTTTTTGCTTTTCAAAATATGGTAACCCTAATAGAAGGGGGGAAAGGAATGAATACATAAAGAAAATCAGATCAGGCCAAAGATATGACGATCAGATCAAAGATCCATCTACTCCAACATTCATTCTAGCACGACCATCCTGATGATTCTGGGAAATTTACAGAAGTACATGAAACCATCACTCTTCGCTAGTACCCGTTATTTATGGTGGTTTCATGGTGAAAGCTTGAATACAACTTCTTTTCTCTCCACAGACAACATAAGATCTTTTTTAGGGAAACTGGGGGAGGGGAGACAAAGAACTGTATGCACCATAGACTCTTTTTGATGTGAATCCTTTTGAAATGGTTAAAAACCCCTTATGTTAAAATTTTAATCTATTTTTGCTGCCTGATGGTTTTATTTTGTTTATTGCATCATTTTTTTATTATCAGCCACCTTGGAGGCCTGTAGTTTCCAAGCAGAAAGCTGATATATGAAGATTTAAATAAATAAATGAAATCAAGCATGCTGCGAGCATCTCCTCTAAACACTACTGCCTGCTCCCTGGAGACAGGATTATCTTGACCCTCCAGAGGCATATGTATTGTAGGGTGTGGATTTGACTTCTGACACACTAGCCCGAAATGCTGGATACCAGCAGCACATTAGAAGACAAAGACCAAATTTATAGCTAGTGTCTGCATGTGAACTACTCCTGAACATCATTCTACCAATATTTACCAATATCTTCCATTCCATATTCATTTCTGCATTCATTACTCATTCTGAATGAGTAAATGTACACTATTATCTCTTTCTTTACAAACAACAGAAAGGTAGTGACTGGACCAAAGCCATCAAGGGAGTTCATGCTTGAAGGCATTTGAACCCCCATTTCCCAGGCTAAAGTAGAGTTGGTGTTGCACACCAAATAACTCTGCAGACCTGGTTCCAGGCTTGAACAGGCTGTGGGCAAAAGACTATCATCACTTGTTCCCTCTCTCCTCATATTGCAGAGGTGGCGCAGGTGAAAAGATGACAAGTAAAGCAGGTGTGCATTCTTTTGGTTCCATGATGGCAGATCTGTCACAGTGTTTTAATTGCACATTGTCACACTACTATATACTAATATGATCATATCTGACCCCCTGTCCCAGTCCTCTTACAATTATCATCTTTCTGGACACATGACAAGATTATGCAGTTGATGAAAGTTTTTTCTGCAATACCCACTTTTCATTTTCTCCTTATCCACCCCTCCATGGAGGCAGGCAATGCCAAACCACCTCTGAACAACTCTTGCCTTGAAAACCATTCAGGGTCACCATAAGTCAGCTGCGACTTGACAGCACTCTCCACCCCCACCCCCCACAAAAGACTACACAGGCAGGATGTGGCTTTATAGCCTTGCCCAGGGTGAATGTATTCAGAAACAAGTGTTCCAGAATTCAATCAGACTTATTTCCAAATAACTGCACCTAGGATTGCAGCCACATTTACGCCCAGCCCACTGTGCTGTTACAGGGTTTACTCACAAGTAATCGTGGATAGGAAGGCAGCTTGAGGCACAAATTCAAGGATGCATTGCTAATTTAAAAAAAATCCAAAATACTTTTTAAAACACTTTGTGCTCACAATCACAACGATGCCTTGAAAACATACAAAAATCACATTCAGCCGCTCTTTACCTGCCCTTCAGTAGATACAGCTGGTCACAGCTGCTGAGCAAAAGTAAGCAATCTGGAAGATGTCCCCTTTCTGACGAATCAAAGCCAGAGTTCAACAGCTCTTTAACCTGCGCTTTCAAACAGGACGAAATCAGAAAAGGTCCTGAATAGACTGCTTTCTGACCGGACAGCCCTTATTATTCATACGCACAAATACACGTGTATGTTGCCTCAGCACCAGCAGGTGGTTTTTATTCCGGCACCTCAAGTGTTCATGAGAAGGAATTAATGAGAAAGGTACCGCAGAGAACATACGGGAGACCCTACGAAGGTGAGCTGCAGACTCCCGAGTAAACGCTACCAAATGCCTAGGTTGCCCAGGGAGATCGTGTGAGAAAGAGGTTACCCGTCAGCAACAGCAACTCCAGGAATGTCCGCA